ATCATATAATTAACGGACAATTAATTACATGGAACTGCACTGCTGGGTGATTAATCCTTATATTTATATTTTTAATCAATGATTTGAAAGTCAATTTCAAATTGATCAGGATTTAAACAGTTATTATATTAATGAACAAAATATAGAGGGTGCTGATTATATAATATTTCACAGAATTAGCAAAATTTTAATATCCCATTTCGCACCATAAATTTAATAAATTTTTATAATTGAAAATTCCCTAAAACAATTCATTTGCAATGATAATAATTTAACTTCTATCATATCACAATAGGCACTTTTGTCCAAATTTCAATTATTCGGTTAAATGCACTCCTGGATTTTTTTGTCCAAAAAACTCTGGTAACTATCTTTTTATAAATCATTAAATTCTACTCTAGCATAATATTTAACAATCAAGTTTGCATGATATTTATTTAACAACTTTGCATAATATTTGACAAATATTTTTGCATAATATTTAACAACTATCTTTGCATAATATATAACAATCAATTTTGTATAATATTTAACGATCAATTTTTTTTAATAGCACAACCGACACATTGTTGTGAAGGTTTTTCTTGCTCTGAAAACGCAACAAACATAGCTCTATGTCCACAAGGTATGATTTTACAGCAATAAAAAAGGCATACTTTCTACTTTTAAAAAATAATTAAACTATATATATATATGTATTTAATTCCAATTTTTAGGATACTTTTGTATTGCGGGAACTGTTAACCCAATTCCTTGTGACTTTTTTGCAATCTGTCCTCCAGGATCGGTAAAACCGAATAAATTCTTTGTTTACATATTGGTGGTTTACTTTGCAATTGCGGTCGCTTTACTATTTAAATATAAGAAAAAAAAGGATAATTTAAAAAGAATAAAATACAATAGGTTTTTGCTAGAATTACCGGCTCATAGAGCATCATTTAATCGCTTAAATCCGGTTTCAAAAACTTTTGATATTGAATTTGAAAATATAGGATTGGTACTATATAATGACATAGAAATTTTGAAGGTATGACTTTACATTTGACTTAATAAATATATATATATTATTCATTTATTTATTGAAAATTTTTATTCAAGGGAATAAAAGGAAAATTTCAGCATGGAAGAACTTGCGCAATTATGGGACCATCAGGTTTGAAACCTTTTTTTACTGACAATACATTATTTGTATAAGAGATTTAAAACTCTGGCGTCTAAAAATTAGCAATTACAAAAAATATTCAAAATATTTGTTAAGAATTCTATTTTCACCCGAGTTAAAATCAATGATAATGCAGTAATGGTTTAGGTGACTTGATCAAAACAGGATTTTTTTCCTTATTTCCTTTACTCTTACTTCAACCAGAAAGATGTTATTACTGCGCTAGTATATAATGAGCTGTGGGATTTTGGAAATTCTGAATACGCACTGCAATTCTTACGTGAAAATGATTAATTATTAATTGCATTAAATAGGTGCGGGGAAAACTACGTTAATATCAATTTTAACTGGAAAGGTAAAAAAGACGAGTGGAACAGTCAAAGGTTTGTTAAAAAAAAATAAAGTATAGATGCTTCATATATCCTTTTATAAAAGTTTATTCATATAAACGGTAAATTTAGTTAATTGCATTGAAGAACCACTGGAAAAGTACAGAAAACTTATCGGTTTTGTGCCACAAGAAGGTATAATGAATTTGTATGCAGGAATCTCAAATTCCTAACATTGGCTCATGCGCATGTGCAGTACATACGTATATGTGTGCGTATCTACTATGATTCTGTACTTACAGATGATAATTTGCATTTGCAGATGTAATGCTACGTGAATTAACTGTAATAGAAATATTGATGGTATGCGGTGCCTTTATTAACAATTATTTAAAGTAATAATTTCAGATAATTCTAGAATTCTAACATAAATATTATATCTACTACGTATATTAATAATAGCATTCTGCGTTAATGCGTTTGCCTGCTAACATGAACAAAGCTGTTAAAAGAAACAAAGTCATTGAAGTGATTAAATTTTTAAAGTTAAATCATGTGATGCATTCTAAAATTGGTAACGAAGGTAATAACTAAATTTTTCCAATATTTTACGTATTACTACATTAATTAGAATAAATTTACTAAAAAAAAGTAATCGATTTAATATCAATAGAAAAACGTGGTATCTCAGGAGGTCAACGTAAACGTGTAAATATTGGAATAGAATTAGTTGCTGAACCGTCTATACTATTTTTGGTGAATATTCTCGAGTCTATTGACCCTATTTGTCTATAGTTGATTTTATATTTTATTAAAATATTAAGTTTTTATAAATAAGGATGAACCAACTTCAGGGCTTGATTCAGTCACCGCGTTAGAAGTATGTACGATGCTAAAAGACGTGCTAAGAATCAGCATTTAACTGTAGTTGCAATTATCCACTCGCCGTCTCCACAAGTCTTCAAGACATTTGACGATCTTTTGTTGCTGGATAACAAAGGAGGTCTTGTATATTTTGGAAAAACAAATGAAGCAAAACATTATTTTGAAAGTAGTGGTTATTATTTTCCTGATGAGAGAGAAGAAAGGTAGCTTAATAATCTTGCAATTTTTACTAATAGTTTAGTTTAATTAACTAATAATTTATTTATTTATTTAAAATCTAGTCACGCTGATTTTATGATGAGAATTGCTTCTGGAACTGTACATCCACATTATTGGTCTAGGCGGAATTATCAGCAAGAATTAAAATCAAATCGTGAGCCTAAGAAACTAGAAATAATTTTTCAAATAATTGTAGACATTTGTATGTACTGTGCATAATAGATATTATTTTAGAATTCCTTACGTTCATAATAAGGTTACTTTTATTCTGGAAACGTGATCCAACTCGTGATACTCCAAATATGTTTCGCGCATTTTTACTATTGCTCAAACGGGCCTACTTGCAGGTCTATAGGAGTCCTGTACAATTCTTATCAGATCAATTCGTACATCTTCTCTGTGGTATTTTAATTTCGGTAGCAATTTCAGATTCCGAATATAAAGGAAAACCACCTAGTGAAGTTTGTGCGATGGCTCCATATGTGCTAAAGGGTTTATGTGCCGTCCCTTTTGATTTTATTAAGGTATTTGATTTATAAAGTGATTAACTTATAAATATTGTTTTATGAAAACTAATTTTTTTCTAGAATGTTGGAACGTTCATGTCAATTGGTATGACATTTATAGCGGCCAGTGGTATTATTTTTTTTTTCCCATTTCCTTTCTTTTAATTTATAAATTGTAATTTGTTTAATTTTTTTCAATTTTTAATTATTTTTTCAATTATCAATTACTATGTTTCTAGCCGGAACTTCAACATTCGGATTCGAAAAGGCTGTATACTGGCGTGATGTCTCATCCGGAATGCATACTATTCCATACTTTTTGGCCAAGATTATTAATGATATTCCCCGCATAATTATCTCAGCACTTATGTTTGCACTATCAATTATTGTACTTTACCCATTTGAAGTCAAATTTTTGGATATATATTTTATTGTTCTTTCAAATTATTTTGCTTCTTGGTCTATGGGTATATATTACGTTAAGAATATTAGTTTAAATTAAATTTTATGTATGACTAAAATATACGTTAATACATAATAGGTTATGTTATATCAATTCTGGTTCGAAAAGAAAGATTCGGATTGGTTTGTAGTGGATTCTCTATTGCTTGGGGATTAGTTTTTAGTGGCGGATCCGTTACTTTGGAACCTTTTTTTACTGACAATACATTATTTGTATAAGAGATTTAAAACTCTGGCGTCTAAAAATTAGCAATTACAAAAAATATTCAAAATATTTGTTAAGAATTCTATTTTCACCCGAGTTAAAATCAATGATAATGCAGTAATGGTTTAGGTGACTTGATCAAAACAGGATTTTTTTCCTTATTTCCTTTACTCTTACTTCAACCAGAAAGATGTTATTACTGCGCTAGTATATAATGAGCTGTGGGATTTTGGAAATTCTGAATACGCACTGCAATTCTTACGTGAAAATGATTAATTATTAATTGCATTAAATAGGTGCGGGGAAAACTACGTTAATATCAATTTTAACTGGAAAGGTAAAAAAGACGAGTGGAACAGTCAAAGGTTTGTTAAAAAAAAATAAAGTATAGATGCTTCATATATCCTTTTATAAAAGTTTATTCATATAAACGGTAAATTTAGTTAATTGCATTGAAGAACCACTGGAAAAGTACAGAAAACTTATCGGTTTTGTGCCACAAGAAGGTATAATGAATTTGTATGCAGGAATCTCAAATTCCTAACATTGGCTCATGCGCATGTGCAGTACATACGTATATGTGTGCGTATCTACTATGATTCTGTACTTACAGATGATAATTTGCATTTGCAGATGTAATGCTACGTGAATTAACTGTAATAGAAATATTGATGGTATGCGGTGCCTTTATTAACAATTATTTAAAGTAATAATTTCAGATAATTCTAGAATTCTAACATAAATATTATATCTACTACGTATATTAATAATAGCATTCTGCGTTAATGCGTTTGCCTGCTAACATGAACAAAGCTGTTAAAAGAAACAAAGTCATTGAAGTGATTAAATTTTTAAAGTTAAATCATGTGATGCATTCTAAAATTGGTAACGAAGGTAATAACTAAATTTTTCCAATATTTTACGTATTACTACATTAATTAGAATAAATTTACTAAAAAAAAGTAATCGATTTAATATCAATAGAAAAACGTGGTATCTCAGGAGGTCAACGTAAACGTGTAAATATTGGAATAGAATTAGTTGCTGAACCGTCTATACTATTTTTGGTGAATATTCTCGAGTCTATTGACCCTATTTGTCTATAGTTGATTTTATATTTTATTAAAATATTAAGTTTTTATAAATAAGGATGAACCAACTTCAGGGCTTGATTCAGTCACCGCGTTAGAAGTATGTACGATGCTAAAAGACGTGCTAAGAATCAGCATTTAACTGTAGTTGCAATTATCCACTCGCCGTCTCCACAAGTCTTCAAGACATTTGACGATCTTTTGTTGCTGGATAACAAAGGAGGTCTTGTATATTTTGGAAAAACAAATGAAGCAAAACATTATTTTGAAAGTAGTGGTTATTATTTTCCTGATGAGAGAGAAGAAAGGTAGCTTAATAATCTTGCAATTTTTACTAATAGTTTAGTTTAATTAACTAATAATTTATTTATTTATTTAAAATCTAGTCACGCTGATTTTATGATGAGAATTGCTTCTGGAACTGTACATCCACATTATTGGTCTAGGCGGAATTATCAGCAAGAATTAAAATCAAATCGTGAGCCTAAGAAACTAGAAATAATTTTTCAAATAATTGTAGACATTTGTATGTACTGTGCATAATAGATATTATTTTAGAATTCCTTACGTTCATAATAAGGTTACTTTTATTCTGGAAACGTGATCCAACTCGTGATACTCCAAATATGTTTCGCGCATTTTTACTATTGCTCAAACGGGCCTACTTGCAGGTCTATAGGAGTCCTGTACAATTCTTATCAGATCAATTCGTACATCTTCTCTGTGGTATTTTAATTTCGGTAGCAATTTCAGATTCCGAATATAAAGGAAAACCACCTAGTGAAGTTTGTGCGATGGCTCCATATGTGCTAAAGGGTTTATGTGCCGTCCCTTTTGATTTTATTAAGGTATTTGATTTATAAAGTGATTAACTTATAAATATTGTTTTATGAAAACTAATTTTTTTCTAGAATGTTGGAACGTTCATGTCAATTGGTATGACATTTATAGCGGCCAGTGGTATTATTTTTTTTTTCCCATTTCCTTTCTTTTAATTTATAAATTGTAATTTGTTTAATTTTTTTCAATTTTTAATTATTTTTTCAATTATCAATTACTATGTTTCTAGCCGGAACTTCAACATTCGGATTCGAAAAGGCTGTATACTGGCGTGATGTCTCATCCGGAATGCATACTATTCCATACTTTTTGGCCAAGATTATTAATGATATTCCCCGCATAATTATCTCAGCACTTATGTTTGCACTATCAATTATTGTACTTTACCCATTTGAAGTCAAATTTTTGGATATATATTTTATTGTTCTTTCAAATTATTTTGCTTCTTGGTCTATGGGTATATATTACGTTAAGAATATTAGTTTAAATTAAATTTTATGTATGACTAAAATATACGTTAATACATAATAGGTTATGTTATATCAATTCTGGTTCGAAAAGAAAGATTCGGATTGGTTTGTAGTGGATTCTCTATTGCTTGGGGATTAGTTTTTAGTGGCGGATCCGTTACTTTGGAAGATGTTAAAAACAAAAGCGCTTATCAACCTTTTAAATGGTTGTGGGAAGTGAGTATTTTTTATATACAGTAAAATATATTTTATTGCATATATATATATAATTAATAATTAAAAAAAAAACTTTTTTATATATAGATTTCAGCACAAAGATGGGTTATTGAAGCAGTTTATCTTAAAGAATTGGAACCTAGACCGTATGCATCCTTTATGAACTACTCTATTAATATCAATATTTTATACACGTATATAATAATTTCTTTTTATTTTCTTTATAATAGATGGAGCGAAATTAAAAATGAAACATTAAGATATACTTATAGTTTTGATCATTACCCTATATGCTTTTTTAATATTTTCTGTATTACACTTGGTTGGGCCTCTTTAGCGTTCTTTGCTTTGAAATTAATGAATAGAAGTAAACAAAAATAAATCTTAAGCCACTAAATAATGATACCTTTGTAATATTAATACTAAAATTTAATACCTTGATGGTATGAGAACTTAAAGTAAGAATTGGAATTTTTGAAACTTGATGACCATTACTAGAATAACGGCACGTTTTGTGGGCTGGAGCTCTAATTATTAGGTATTATACTTCAGAATTAAGATAACATGTAAATTTCACAAATATAAGATTACATCCATAATAAAGAAAGCAATTTTGTTTTTCCATCATTCTTTGTTGTAGACGTACATTTAGCAAAGTTGAAAAATTAGCAAATGTACAAACCCTTGATTCATCTACAAATGTAAAACCGGTACAAATTCCTTATTTCGGTTTATCGCAGTATTTAATATTAAGACTTATGAATTGTAGCTATACAAGCAAAACATAAGGGAAACACATACGAGGCAAATTCTTCCAAATAAAGTATATTTAATAGGCTGAATTGGTACTTGGATATGGTGCGATATAGATAATGTTGAGCCCGTATAATTATCCATTTTAATTAATTTTGCTAGGATAATGAAGGAGGCATTATTCCTAGAGATGTAGACATTTAGAATCTTAAGTTGTAACTACCTCAGCAAAAATCGCTCGTCAATATGGTACATTTCCCAGTGAAACAAAACACTCGGTCACATGAATATCTATATTGTGAAAGAGACTTGTTGCTCAAAGTCACTGATATCGATATAAGGTAACTGCGCGACATTGTCGCGCAAAACCAAGAACGGAAGTCAGTTCTTAGAATTTATATATATATATATTTTATAATCAAGTTTATAGTAATATATAGAAATATTAACAATATTAATAAAATTTTATTAACAAATATAAAAATATAGATTTACAAGCTTCTAAGTTTAATTTGTGATGTAAATAGATAAATGTATAATATTTTAAGTATTTAATATAATGGATTAATGAGAAGTAGGTATAGAACTTATGAATGACATATTTATAATTGAGGTTCAAATTTTGTTGACAATGTTCTAAAAGTTTTTTTAATATTACATTGTTTTTGTTCAAAAAAATGTTCAGAATTGAGTTGATTTTTGAACATACTGTATATTACATCAGAAAATTTTTTAGAGTGATAAGTATCAATTATAATCTAAAGATATTAATTGATTAGTAATACCACTATCATAAGTAATTGATATAGATTAGAAATTGATAATAATCATATATATGATAAAAATTGATATAGATAAAAATCAATAGTTATCGTTTATATGATAAATATTGATAAAAATTAATATAGATAGAAATCGATAGTTATCATTTGCAATAAAAATCAATCTGATAAAAATTAATAATTATTATTTATGATAAGAATCGATTTAGATAAAAATCAATAGCTATCATTATCAAGAAATTTTTTAAAGTGATAGGTTACGATTACTAACAATTAATCGATTATTATTAATTAAATTTAATCAATAAGAACTAATGGTGGTGATTATAATCGTCAGATATTCTTATCGATTTTAATTGATAATGTTACTAATCATTAACTTACTATAAATGATTATTATCAATTAATTTTTATCGATAATTATTGATAAAAAATTAATCGATAATAATTGTTTATAGTAAATTAACAATTAGTAACATTATCGATTAAAATCGATAAGGATATCTGATGATTACAATAACCACTGTCAGTTTTTATTAATTAAATTTAATCGATAATAATTGATTAATTGTAGTAATCATAACCTATTACCTTAAAAAATTTTCTAATATATACTAATTTTGTACAATGTTTATACTAAATATTGTTGACACAAAATTTCTTTTTTTATATTATGGTATAAAAAATTGTACAATGATGTATTAATATTAGAAAAATTAACTTTATTCTGAATATTTTTTACAATAACTGAATATACTTTTTTATAGAACAGAATTCCAATAGTTAATATGAAAATAAACTGTTATGAAAACACTGTTTAATAGCAAAAGTAGGCTATATATTAGAGGAAGTATATTGATTTAGAATTTTAAAAGTATAATAGAAAGAAAAGAATATAAAAAAAATTATATACTCATTGTATGGCATGGATTAAAAATATAAATATAAGGATTAATCACCCAGCAGTGCAGTTCCATGTAATTAATTGTCCGTTAATTATATGAT